GGGCCGGGCGCGCGCGGCGGTGGCCCTCGCCGACTTCTACCCGTTCGGCCCGGAGCGCGGCGACGCCGTCACCCCGAAGCAAGATGACGGCGGCTCGGGGCTGCGGCCCCTCTCGGTGCCCTTCCCGTTCTTCGGCGCCGAGCACTCCGGACTCTACGTGAGTAAGCCCGAGCTCGCGGGGGCCGCGGGGAGGGCGCGCTGCCGGCCCCCGACCGCCGCCGCCTCCGCCAGCGACTTGGCACCGCGGCGGCCAGAGGTGGTGCGAGGACAGCGCTTCCTCCCTCTGTCGCCAGGCCGGACGGCGGTCCGCGGAGAGCGGGCGGGGCGGGGCGCGCAGCCCCGGGGCACCTTGGCGGTGTTCAGCCGAGCGGTCCGGCCTGCTTGGGGCCGCGGCAGGGTGCACCCGGCGTCCGCGAGTGGCTGACCCCCAGCGCCCAGCGGGGACCTCGCCTTGCTCCGACTCCCTCGCAGACAGCGATGTGGCAGCGGGCGCGTAGCCTCGGCCCACAGTTTCCCGAGTGAGGCACCGGGCCTGTGACGGCCTCAGCCCTCCTCTGGCCAGTTCAGCCTCATTTCCCAGTTGACATCCAAGGCCCGGGGCCAGAAGGAATTCTGGCACGGCCGACTTCTTTGCGGACCTGCGCTGGGCAGGGCTGGCAGCTAGGGGCAGTGTAGAGGGGTTTACTCCGCTCCCCTCCTGACGCTGGAAGCTGGCCACTCAGGTTCAAAGACCTCCAAACAGGACTCCCAGAGGTCACCCCTCACACGGCCCCCCACCCCCCAGCAAAGGTACAGGAAAAGACCGATGAATGGCAAAGCCTGAGTGGCAGTTGGGCCTCAGTGCTCCTAGGGTCTGACCCTGGGCAATCACTTGTGTGCACCCCAGGGACTGAGATACGATGAGGTGAACACTTGGCATGGGTGCCCTGCTGTCCCCTGAATCACCCATATCTGTTTCTACAGAAAACTCCTGAGCCAATCTGATCTAAATAGTTGCAACACAATCTTCCCAACCACAGCCTCTTCCACATCCAAAGCCATCACCATTAACTCTACCAATGATTTCATCATTAACATCACTATCTCCACCATCAGTACCACCACCTCCACACTCACCTCTGCCATAAGCATGCCTTCTTTCAGTCCCAGATCAGCATCTCTGCCATCTTGAATACTGCCTCCATCACCAGCCACACAGTCTGCAGTGTTGCCATCCCCCTGACCACCACTGTCCATAAGCCCGTCCACTCCAACACAACCTCAGATACCCTGACCCCACAGCTTCTGGTCACCATCCTGGTGGCTGGCTTCCCTGCGCCCGCTTAGAATGGCCTATTCATATTGGTGACAGTGTCTAATGATGTGACCATGGCGGGAAAGAAGGGACAGCCATCCCTGAGCGTTCCTCAGGGCCAGGACTTGGCAGAGGTACACAGTGAACTCCTGCAAGTATGCAGTGGGCAGGAAGAGCTCTGGGTCTGCCCAGCAGGAAGAGGCCTGTACATCTCAAGAATGCAGACACCCATCCTAATAGAACTCTGTCAAAATACCTCATTAAGCATTTGGGCCAGGCTTGACTTTTCCACTCCAAGTTGCAGGTGAAAATATTATTAAAAGGGTTGACCCTCTTAACATGAGAAATGAACCTCTGGCTGCTAGCAAAACATCCATCTCCACCCGAGCCTGTTCCTGAAACATAGATACTGTTTGCAAAACACTCACTGGTGTGGGCACAGTGCACCTCACCTTTCCCTTTGCTCAGTAGGAAAGAAAGTGGAATTCCTCATGGAGCCATGCCCAGAACATCTGGCCCAGAAATATCACTGGGGCTCTACAGCCAGGAAAGAGACAGAGTTGGGGCATCTGGGTAGGTGAAAGTCAAGGCCAGATGGAGAAAACGAGGCATTGACAGAGTGTCTGCTGAGTGTCCCCAGGCCCACCCAGGCCTTCATCCTGCTGTGCACAGTGAGGTGTGTTGTCAGCAGCTCCCTTTGCTTTCCTGGCTTAGCCAGATGGAGACTTGTTGCATGAATAAGGGAGTAAAAGAATGAATGTCCATTCCTCTGTGTGGCTCACACCCCAGTGGCAATCACAGATGCCCTCTGTGACATTGGTGCTTCCTGAGTCTTTATTAGAGAAGCACAGACACATCCCTAGGGTGGCAGCGCTGCCTAGCACAAGGTGGCTCTTGTCTAGAAGAGATGTTTCTTGTGTCATAGTAGCTGGCTCTGAAATATTGAGAAGATGCTAGGCTCCTGTAAGGCCAGGAGTCTGTTAAGGTGGTACAGTGGCTGAGGTGTGGCCAGGGGTCTTCCAGTCACATATCCAACCTGAGCTGCATGGGAGATGGACAGTGGTGGCCTTCTGGAGAGTCCACTTTACCCAACCCCCAGGGGCTCTTCCAGCCATGCTGGACTTCATGCCTGACCTTCCCTGAAACTCCTTACTATATTGGTCTTTGGAAAATTTGGGCACCAGTCCAAGAAACATAGAGCCCAGCGTGGAAAATGGGATTTGGGGGTCAGAGTAGGCGGTGTTCCCACAGAGCCCAAAGACAAGAAAGACTGTTGATAGTCAGCTTGACCTGAACCTCAGCTCTCACACACTGATGGCTAGCAACTCAGTTCTTATACCCTGATGCAAGGCTTGGTTCCGTACCATCTGCTGAGTCTATACTGGCCTTCCCTCTTACAGCATGGCTCTGGCTCTGCTCTCCTGGACCCTGGGCCCAGAGCAGTTGCTCTGGTATCATTACTCACCATGCAGCTTGTGACCTTTGCCTGGTTATTTCTCCCATGAGCCTCAGTTTAGCTATCCATGTGGACTGGACAGTGATTTCTCCATTTTTGCTGCCAGCTCTGCTTGTACTTGAGCCCAGGTCTCAGCCAGGCATTTTTTATGTGGGCCAGAAAGGATTTTCCAGATGACCAGTGCTGTTGTCCAGACAGCCAGTACAATGAGAGTTAGGTGTGTGCATGAACACAGTTGTGTGAGGAATTGGGCTTAAGAAAGTACAACCAGGGGGCAATGAGAGTACAGATGAGGAAATTGAGGCTCAGGGTTCAGACCAAGGAACCTTCAGACTTGAGTGTCCAGTGCTTTCATACTGCACCACCCCATTAGTGGGACCCAAACTGAAGTCCTGCTTCCTCCCTGGACCACTTCCCAGAACTTGTAGTCGCCATGCTCATCCAGGCTTCTGTTTCCATTACCTAATTGTCTGCAGGTGTATTTGTGCTGGGCAGCCAGCTCCTGACCTTCCCAGTCAGCTCCTGACCTTCCCTGCTGCCTGCTCTCTCCACACAGAGACCCGTCGGAGTGCAGACCATCACTGGGATCCCATGTGTCTCCCCTTCCCTTACCCCTCCAAGAAGTCTCCCCATAAACAAGCCCCTCACTGCCAAGCCCTGCCTCTGCGCTTCACTGTGTGTCTCTGACCTTGCTCAGATGCTCACTTGTCTTCTTGACTAGGACATGAATCCCCTCAAGGCCAGGGACCATGGGAAAGGGGATGTGTGTAAGGATGTGCAGAGCCCCAACAGCTGCAGCCCAGCCAGAGCAAGCATGACTTTTTGGTCTGACTCCCACTAAGAACTTCACCAGAACCTTTACTGTACCCTGATGACTGTGGCCTCAGTTCTCTTTCTGGTAAAGTGTGGGATCGAACTTTTTCTATCCAGTCTGGCAATCTCTTCTTTCCTTTTCATTGGCATGTTCACACCTTTTACATTTGATGCGATTGCCAGTATGGCTGGTCTAACCTCCTGACGTACGTATTTACATATGTGCTCTATATTTCTTTTGGAGTCAAAATTATTCCCCCTACTATTGACTTACTAGCATAACCTCTTCATCTTACTCTTCAGTCAATGAATCTGGGTTTAACATACAATTTTAACTTCACGAAGTCTATCTTTCAAAGAACATGGTACTCTTCAAATACGATGCTTGGACCTTACAATTGTGTGCATATTTTCCCATTCTGCTTCCTGCTGTTGCCAAGGTTTACATATGTGATAAGGCCAATAATACACTGTTAGTATTTTGTTGTAAACAGCCAAGTGTCATTTAAGGAGATATAAAATAGGAAGTTCTTCCTGTCTTCTGCCTCTAGTCTTCCTCATCTCCTGTGTAGATCCACCTCTCCACTTCCTGTCATTCTGGTGGAAAGACTGTAGCATTGCTTGTAGTATAGACGTGCTGGGCATAAATAGTCTTATCTGACATTGTATTGATTTACCTTGTTTCTCAAAACCACCTCTGCAGTATGGATGTGGCATTCTGGGTTGAACATTCTGGGTTTGTACAGGTGGTGTTCTGTCGTCTTTGGATGGCATAGTCCCTGGCAAGAAGTCAGTCGTTATACCTCCTCTGGGTCTAGTGCACCTCTTCCCTCTGGCTGCTTTCAAGTTTTCCTTTTCATCCTTACTTTCTGGCAGTTTGATTCCTAAGTAGGCTATTGTGGCATTTAAAAAATACTTCTTCTACTGGGCATAGTGGTGCACACCTTTGATCCCAACACTCAGGAGGTAGAGGCAGGCGGATCTCTCTGTGAGGTCCAGGCTAGCCTGGTCTACATAGTGAGTTCCAGGCCAGCTGGGGCTACAGGGAGATCCTGTCTCAAAATACATATATACATGTATTTCTTTTCTGCTGCTCAAGGTTCGTACTGTGGGTATATAGTTTTCGTAAGATTTGAGAAGCTTCTCAGCCAACTTCAAGTAATTCTGTTCTTTGTGGTGCCCAACCAAAGGCTCAAGTTGTGTGTCAGGCTGCTTACAGTTGTCCTAGAACTCGATGAAACCTGGTTCTATTTTTGTTGTTAGTACAATTTTTGGGGTCCTTTATTTTGAATGCTTCTTTTTTATTACGTTCTTTGTTTATTTGGGGGGTGGGGTGTACACAGCACATGTGAAAGCCGGAGGACAACTTGCAGGAGTCAGTTCTCTCTTCTACCATGTGGGTTCCAGGGTTCAGATCAGGTTGTCGGGTTTGGTGGCAAGCATCTTTACCTACTAAGCCATGTCATTGGCCTGCTTCTGGATATTTCTAATTGTTATCTTTTCAAATTCACTGACACTCTGTTCCACGGTGCCCAACCTCCTGTTACTACCATTCAATAGTCTCTGTTTTGTTTTTGTCTTTATTTTCAATTCT